TAAGACTAAATCTTTCACATCTAACTTTTCAATGGTCTAGATTAAATATTTCCACCCAATTACATCAAATTGTCAAGATTAAATCTTCCCACCTAACTTACTTTAATGGTCTAAATTTAATCTTTCTCACCTAATTAATTTCAATGGTTTAGATTTAATCTTCCCAAAACATGTCAAGTTTACAATGGAATACTAGTGAGTCTTGGATTTTAAGCTAAAATCCTAAAAAATCTTCATTTTGGCTTAAAATTCACTCGGCCGCCTTCTTTTGAAGTAGGATTTCTCCAATTCACATTCTCTCAATTATCTTCTTCTACAGCCACAGCCATAAACTCCATCATAAAAAGTATACATATCTTTTTTCGACTCATGTTGAACAACCCTGCTGATTATGGTGCAACTCTCATATTTGGTTTTCTTGATAGTTTTTTAGCCATCAACATCTTTCCACCAAACACTTGCATCAATACCTAACCAATGCTCGTGTGTAAATCTGTGGACTAACTAATAGTAACACATCCTCTTACGTGGCATTTGGCTACATACAATAAGGATATGTATCTTTTCCATAAGAAATCGTCTTCAAAAGATACACTGTCAGTTACATTTTAAAGCTATTATCTGAATCGCTTTACCTGACAATTTTCTTTTAACGTGTCTAAATTGTCTACCCATCCATCAAGCTTGAAACAATGGTTGACTTGCCTTTCACTTATGCCTTTCAAAAGATACACTGTCAGTTACATTTTAGAGCTATTAGCTTAATCGCTCCACCTGATAATTTTCTTTTAACGTGCCCAAATTGTCCACACGTCCATCAAGCTTGAAACATTGGCATATTGGACATGATAAAGCATAAGATTCAATTTTGACAGTGTCACATTATCATCTATTGAATTGGATGAATAAACCTATTCCGTTGATTAAATTAATTTAATAGAATGTATAAAATATATAATAACACCAGTACTCAATCAATATTCATTTTAAGTACATGGGCAAAGTCATAAGCTTTATCCACATGTACTTCTCTCATATTCTTATTCACTACGTTAACCATATTATCACTAATGGGAGCAGGTCCTCTGTTAATTGTCTGTGCCAACAATAGTGCCTCCAATGCCATAATACATTTCTCAAACAAGATTTGTTTCTACTTTAAATGCTTCTAATGCTCCCCTGATTGCTTTTGAATTTGTTCTATTTTCTTCTCCCAAATAGCACCATTGGATGTTCCAGATTTTCGTCATGCTTTGAAGCACCGCATAGGAGAAACAAAGTTCCCAATGCCCCATAACACAATTAGGTTTGTCTTTATTACCGAAAATCGATATCAGAGCATCAACGCCAATTTCAAAGGCAATTTCACCTAATGCCAACTTCATGGCATATTCATCTTATAACACATACAAACTTCATTCATGATTTGGAAAAACGTGGACTACATCCACTTAACAAATGAGTGTACATAGGAATTTACAATATTGTGGACCATTTCTTGAGTTGCATCATCTTGATAGACTTTACTTTTTTATGCATGTGCTGTTTTTCTAACATTAGATTTGGTTATCTCCACATTTTGTTTCTCATTTGTTCCTATTATATGCAACATTAAACGTAAGTGCCAACGTAAATAAACTTAAAATTATGTGAATCAAAATTATACTTCAAAATACAAAATACTTATAAGGTTGCGTTTTACGTGTGCATAATCCTTTTTTATTATTCTAGTGATATTTTTTGCCCTTCCATTCTTTTGTTTTTCACTGATTTCCTACACAATAAATGATTAATTTACTACATAGTAGTAATCTTAAAATGATTTGAATAATAAATGCTCTTTATTAAATTTGTTCTAAAAAAGGTTTTTATGTATACCTCAAATGCTTGAGATAACTGAGACTTAACAAATGTATCTCAATTCACTTTAGCAATTATATCTTCATATAAGGAAGAATGCTGAGTCAAAACTTTCAAATTGTTTCTATTAGGGTATATGTGGTTATTTGCGAATCTCTATTTTCTCTAAATTTTTGACCAGCTGATTGCTAGCCATCATGCTTATGAGCTTACATTATCCCAAAGTAAACATACCAAGAAAGAAAGAATACATTACACAATTTCAATTGTGAGTACTAATCAAGGTTATTATGCGACTAAATATAACTTTCCAACATCAACTCCTAAATCTTTTGCTTTTGCTCATAAAAACATTGGATCAGTGCTTAATGGTAATAGGTATTGATTTTCGGACAACACTAGAATATAGCTTTGCATCTTGGCACCGATACTTCCTAAAGATTGACTTTAATTGTTGAATTCGATGATTTCTTACCTATAGAAAACGTATACAACTTTGCCAAATGTGTGTGTCCCTTTGATTTCCTTTTATTCAGTGCCGTTTCATCTCTATTTGGTTCATCAACATTCATTCCATCTTCAAACATTGTATACAAATTGTTAAAATTATACACATTTAACAGCAACAAATTATTTATCCTTTATAATATCTTAATAATACACAAAACCCCCAACAACAAACTAATTGTTCTCTATAATGTCCTATTGTTTTTTATTTAACTATAGCAAAAATATGTAGTTCTTACCTTAAAAAAAAATATGACAACAATAGCAGCGAAGGCAATTAAAAGAAAACTCACAAATTCGACAACAAGTAAAGGAGAAAATATAGAGTAAGGCGATCAGTAAGTAGGTAGAGCAGAAAAAGGAAAAGAAAAGACAGTGGTTTTTGCATGAAAAACTGAAGTCAGACAAATAACTTTTGAAATGTTAGACAAATTCCAATTTTATTAAGGCTACGGTGATATAAATGACGATTAATTAAACAATTGTCTTTTATTACTAATTATCACACGTTTAAATAAACAATCGTCATTTAGTATACTTTAACATCATGCCATGTTTGGTATTACAACTATCATTTTTTTGATGTTAAATAATCTACTATAACGTTTGCTTTGCTTCTTCATTAAAGAAAATGGTTATATCAATAACTCTTCTGGCAAAAAGGGGAATAAATAAATAATTAAAAGTGATGCTCTCAACTTTTTTTTTTTTTTTGGTGTGAAAAAGGAATTTTGATTTAAATAAAATGACACAGATAAAGAGGAATTTGGTAATATATACATTACAAAAGATAGACATTAAGGGTTGACCAAGTTTGGTAGTAGACACACTCACTTGGGATTGAGAAGTTATAGTGTTAAGAGCATAGAATAGATTACATTCTACACTATTTGTTTTTTTAAATCACTATACTAGATTGGATGACAATTATTATATAATGCTTTGTAGATACTTGATTTGATTATTAATATTTTATTTTTTAAATTTTTTAAAGTTGTTAAAGTTGACAATAAATCAAAACAGATGATAAAATTATTTTAGTGTAAGTTATTTTATGAAATAGTTATTCATAAAACAATCTTTTTATAAATAGCTGCTTATGGAATAACTATTCAAGGAACAACTTCTTCACATAATAGTTATTCTATGAACAATTATTTAAAAAGCAATTCCTTAACAAAATAATATTTTGTGAAACAACTTTTTCGGAATAACTTTCTTAAAGAACAAGACCAATACTTTTACCAAAAACTCTTGTATCAAAAGTTCTTTCACTAAAAGTTATTCTATGAAAAATGCTTCACTGAATATTACTTCACCAAAAGAAATGAAAATAACTCCAAAATATAACAAGATTCTTGGATTAATTTCACTATTAAGATGTTCCTACGAGCTTGGCTTAATAAATCAAATATGAAAATAGTTAAGAGGTTTTCTCTTAACCTTTTCCTGAAATATAAATGCTTTTTCATTTCCTTTAAAATCCATGTGAACTTTTATATTTATTATACCTATTACCAAAAAATTAATTAAACTCTCATTTAACAATACATTAATACCTTTTGTAACAGTCAATTATCCTATTATTCACTATTATTTCTATTTAATACTTAAAATATGTAACTCTTATTCTTGAAACCTATAAATAAAATTTTCACAATTTACGAAAAATTTTTAGATTTTGACGAATTTCTTACAATTTTCTCTCAAACTCTCTCTATAATCCTCTCTTTCTAAATCCTTCTCTGACCTTTATTTTTTCTCTGTTTAGCCTTACTTCACCACCTATCACTACACTCAATACTTCAAGGTCTGCTCCAATCTTCTTCTCTACCGTCATATTTTACTTGTTTAGAATGCTTTCTCACCTTAACAAAGAACCGTTTGCATTTACTTACCTCACCCTTCATGTACTTACCCTATTATACTCAATAAAACCCTTCATTGAATGGTTGAATAGTGCTATCAAAATGAAAATGATATCCCATCTTGTCAAAACTCGATCATGCTATTCAATACGAACATTGAAGAATTCAGCACATTGCCTCATCCAGGCAACCGATGTTTCTCAAGAAGTCGGCATAGCAAGATGCATCTATTAGATATGGATGGGTGACTATCATTTTGGTCTGTGTGCACCGACTTGATCCATGTATGAGTTTTAACTGACTCTTAGTTGGAATCATTGCACTAAAACATTTAAGATCAACCTTGACACGATTGTGAAGCGTTTTCCAATATTATATGAAGGTACCTTCGATCACTACCATATAGGTCTTATAAACATCCATAGGAATGAGCTATCACAGGTATGGTTTTATAGAAGGGTATTCAGGTATAATTTGAAAACCAAAACAATAAAAGAAATCAAATTGGCAAGAATCAAGAAGTTCAAACATATAAAATAGGACTTTTCTCGTACTAGTTATACCAAGAGCTTGGTCTCCTTGAGGTGCTTGTATAAAGGGTATGGCCAGAACACAGCATGGGCATGGGATGCTAGATGACTAGTTGTAGAATGAGTAATCTTCTATTATAGTTCTTTGCATTTTTTTTAAGAATTATTATTATTATTATTATTATTATTGAAAGATGCTTAAGAATTATTATTTTCTTTATTATTAGTGAATTTTTAGGTTTTACAAACGTTACTAGAATATTACCACAAGTTCCGAATTAATCTCACATTATATATTGATTTATATCTTGAGTCTACATTATATCTTGATTGCTTAGCTAATAATATAATCAAGGGTAGATATAAGGCATGTATATACATATATATGTCTTGAATTCAGCTAACATCTCTCTCCTATACTCCATATATTAGCATTGAGAGTCTAATCTATCCCTCCACGCCTTATGTATATAATAGAAATTTATGGTTACTGATTATACATTCTTATTCAGGCTATATGAACAAGTGCATCTCACTAACAAGCAGTAAGGGGAGACATCTTGTCATGTATTGCCTTGTAGCATTGAAGGCTGCAGAGGGGAAGCTTTGATTTCGAATCTCTATACTTGTATGGATTTGTACAAGATGGAACAGCACATTTTTCTCGAGGAGGAGGGTAACTGCAAGGCTTGGGGTCAAATATACTTGGTAACCCCACCTCATTGGGAAATGTTACAACTGTTCCAGAAGGCCCCATAATCCATCTAACAGAGTCTGATGCAAGTATCAAAGAATTTGTAGCTTTTTCCTAAACAAAAAATCAAGATACATTGATAAAAGATATGATCTGATTTACTAGATTTGAATTGTGCATGATCTTTACCTGTGCCATTTCTTCTTGCCGCTTTTTTATCTTATCTTCTCGTTTCTTTCTACTTGAATCTTGACCAAGGATTTTTCTTATTGCTTCAGCCTAGAAAAATCAAAGAAGATTAATCGCTACATTGTTAAATCAATGCTATCTGCAAACCGCCCCATAACTTGCAGACATTCCTATAAAGGAGGCATTAGTTGAATCACATTCTCAAATTCACTCCAACCCTTTCAGATATAAGGAAAATGAACCCTTTCAGATATAAAGAAAAAAAAAAGAAGTAGGGAATTATAGTGCACACCTCAGACTCCCTAGCTGCCTTCTCCACCTGCATCCTGCGTCTCTGAGCAGCCTCGGCTTTCTTCAATTGCTGCTCCACTTCAGAGAGTTTCTCTTTTTGCTCTGTGGTCAGATCATCCAAGGATTCAAATAAGAGACGCTTTACGGAATGTTAAACGTACATTATGTTTGATAATGGCAGGAATGGAGAAGGCACCAAGAGCAACAATACATACTTTTAGGTGGAGCAGGAGGCAATCCTTGTGGGAACTCAATTGGACCAATACCAAAACTGGAAGAGATATCTCTGCCAGCTTGCAGTGCACGCTGACGTGTTGTAACAGTCATTTCCTTATTAGAGTCCCCAAGAAAATCAATAACCTCCTTTTTAGCTTTCTTTCTCCTATTTTCTGGCTCAACATCAGAAACTGATTCTTCGTCCTCTTCCACATAATCAGCATCTTCAGAGGTTCTTCCTGATCTGGACTTCTTAGCCTCCTTGCCCATTCTTGATGAACCATAATCTCCAACATCTAAGTTGTATAGGCCATCAACATTCCTAGTCACTACCTTTGATAATTTCCGCTGTTTTCTTCCTCCATCTTCTCCATGTTCTACACCATAATCAGCAGTTACTCTGATTGTTTTAACCTTCTCAAGGTATCGAATCTCACCATCATCCTCTGCATCGTCAAGCACTCCTTCTAATGAGCGTTTTTTAGGAACTCGCTTACTCTTACGGACTGGTTCATGCTTGTCTATTTCCTTTGTTGGGATATTCTCAGCAGACACCCTAGCCCTTGAATGATCAAACTGCCGGACACCTAAATCACCTTTTGAGAAATCCTTCCATGGAACCCTTTGTAGGCTGCTCTCCTTCTCTGAAGTAAAGGAATGGTCATCAAAATTGTCCTACACCAAAATACAAATCAGACAAAAGAACCTCAATAAGAACTCTGTTCATTTATCAGTCCAGCATAAATAAGCCACTAAAGCCTGGTTGCCATGATAAGTAATTATGTATGACACAAGATATCTAGGTCACACATTCCAGTGTGAGAATTTCTGGCAATCATAATTTCTAACATCTATATATTTCAACTATCATTACAATGTCAATTGTTCGCACATACCTGAGAGTGAATTTAAAAATGCAGAAAATATTTTCATTTATTAGGATCCAAATTATATATATTTACCTCAAAGATGCAGATTATCTGTTACAATAATATAACTAGGCTGTTGACAGTTACTGTGAAAAAGGGGTAGTGACTTCGGAATTCTGTATAACACCAACCTTAATAATTGATTTCCTCAGTGATCGAGGGGCATCTGAAAAGCGAAAGGATTTTGTAGAAGACCCAACACCAGATGCACCACCGGAGACAGATTTGGCATCAATGGTATGTGTAACACCACCAACCTTAAGTTTAACTTTCTTGACTTTCTTCTCATTTTCTAGTCCATCTGAATCAATTCCAAAACTTCCCACCATGCTTGTGCTTTTCCAATTAGTGGGGGCAAGGACACCTTCACTGCTTCTTTTTGAATCAACTCCACCGCGCCTCCGATCATTACTGCCTTGGAAAGAACCATTGTTGGAAGCTTCATCAGATTCTTCATATGCTCCATCTTCAACGTTCATCAAATTCTGAATACATTAACTCTCAAGAGTGTTAATTAGATAAAGCCTTGAGTTGCATAGATTCAAATAGACTGCTTTCTTATGTTAACTAGAACTATGATCAGAAGTATAATCTTATTCTATCCTGCTTACATTGTCTGAAGGGGGTGTAGATGACAACGAAGAAAAATCATGGAACTCTGAATGAGGCTGTGACTCACTCCGAGGACGACGGGATGTGCTACTCCTTTTCTTCCTTGTGGCACTGCTTACATTACTAAACCCCAAGGCTCCAAAACCTTCCATTGTGGCGAAAAATGTTGAAGCTTGAGCATAAGACTGCAGTCAATGCACCCCAAAAAAAATTAAGAAAAAAAAAACCGAAAAAAGGCAAATATTGCCTTCAGTGCATCCAACACCCTGTTACTAGATCCAGAGAAAACAGTTCAGAATTGGTTTAATTACAATAACAGAACCTTCCCATTTTCATGTTAGCCAATTGACAATCTATAAAAATAAAAGAAGCAAGTAATCCGTCACGCAATGATAACAAAATAACAGAGCGGGAAATCTAAAGTTTGCATCTTTATGGTCCTCTATCCTGCACCATTTGAGAGAAGTAACATAGCTGAATTTGGCTCTCAGTGGAATATCAGTGAGACAATTTAGTTCCTTTCATATTACATAGTGGAATTTGGCTCTCAATTTTAATGTCAGTGAGACAATTCAGTTCTTTCATAGTCATTTGCAGTATTTTTGCAAAGATTAACGCACAATATCCAAAAGTGATCTAAAAATTAGTGTTAAAATTCCAAATTGACATGATACTAAACTATATACATGGCGAAAATTGACTAAACATAGCAAAATTCAATAAAAACTATAACTTGATAAAAACCCAGAAGATAAAGCAGATCCCAACTACAAAAACCCCGTAAATAAACCAAAATCGAAATACCCACATAAGAAAGCCTTGTAAAACTACAACATAAAGAGAAAAGAAAAGAACTTTACCTTTATGAGCAGTGCTGATATGGCCTGAGAAAACTCCTTAGATCAAAAAGAAGATGGAAGAATTGAAGAGTAAAAGCACCAAGTCTTGGCAGTAGTAGATAGATATGGAGGTAGGAGAAGTAGCCAGTTGGCAGGGTGTGAATGGATAGAGAAAGTTCGGAGTCTAAGGTTGGGTCAGAAACCGAAAAGGTTGGAACTGTGTTTGTTTTGTTTTGTTAAAGTTAGAAGCGGTTGCTGGCTTGCTGCTGCTGGGTAATTGCTGGCCAAACGTACGATAGTTATTTACCATTTGTAAAACCTTGGTCTTGCTGTAAGAGAAAAATATGATTGATAGTAGTCAATATTAGAGATTCGGGTCTTAACCTGACCCTTGGCTGTTGGACAGGCCTTCGGACCAAGGCCCGTTTTGTTAAAAGGAGTTTCTTGAGGAAAGGGCAAAAGAGCAAGCTTCCTGCTATTATTTCTATAGCATCAGATCGTCATTTTTTGCTACTCTTCGTCTTCGATTGACCGATCTACACCCTTAAATCAGAATGAATGTAAGTCATTCCATTAATTATTTTTAATACCCATTATTATTTTCATGATCTAACAGTTCTCACTTCGAAGAAAGCACTTAATTTTTACTTTTTTTTTTTCCTTATGCAGTTTATGGCTTCAAAGCAACCTGAAAATAGCTTACTCGGCCCTGAAGCTGACTCTCAAAGGACTCTGTATGTTCTTTATCTGATTTCTAATTGAACTAGGGTTTTCTTTGGTTGTTGGGTACTTGAAATTTTCCTTTTTTTTTTCTTCGTTTTGATTTTTTTTTTTGAATTTTTGGTAGGTACCCATATGTGACTGGAACCTCAGTTGTGGCTTTAAAGTATAAAGATGGGATTTTGATGGCTGCTGATATGGGAGGTCAGCTCATACACTTCCATAAGCCTATTTCTTTTTCTGAATTTTTATTTAGTGTTTTTTATGCGTTTGAATTGGTTTTGTTCGTGTTTTGGCAAAAAAATGGTTTTATTAGTGGAAAGTAGATTATGGTCTTGTTTTGGACTTTAATGATGAAGCAATTACCTTTAAGCAGCCTTGATCCGAATTCTTTTTTTTTTTTTCTTTTTTGTGTTTTTGGATTGTGATATGCATATAGATTATCAATGATCCTTATTCTTCAACCCGTTAATGCTGTATGCAATGTTGTAATAAAATAGATGGTTCAGTTAGAGGATTTGAGTATTGCTAAGTAGCTTTTGTCAGCTAAGGTAATGCTTGAAACTGGAGTGGTTGCAACTTGTAACAGAAAACTTTTCTGTTAAAAATCCGGTCATAGTATTCAGTATAACATTTGATAGGATGCTTGTTTGAAAGTATGCCCTAAATGATCAGTATTTTATATAGATTCCATATTGTAGGCTAAAATGTGGTGTTTGATTGTAATGTCATTTGTATAATTAGGACTTCATATATTATATTTCTTCTCTGCTGTCAACTCTATTTTGCAAAGTCAGTAACAGAATTCCCCATATGAGGTGAAAGAGATCTTGTTGAAGCAATTTGCATGGTTGCTAGATTATCTTAGAGAGAAATGGAGTTGGAGTTATTTGAGGCTCTCATTATTTCTCAACCTCATGCTCTTTGATATTCAAGTCCTTATTCTTTATTTATTAAAAGAACTTCTTTAAACCTGTGATGTTCCATAAAACTATTTATGCACTTTAATGAAAAATACATTTTGCTTATATTTCATTTGCCACATGCATGCTTTGCACCTTTTGATTTTCATTCTCCTTCCTTTCCCTCTTCTTCTCTCATTTTGAACTGGAAGTCTACGGTTTCAATTTCCCAGAATTGCTCTAAAGCTAATACATACTCATCTGATACTCATTGCCCGATTGAATGGCTCCTAATTTCACTATGTAAATGAATGTAAATGAATGCACTTGTTTTACACTTTCCTCCTGTTAATTGGCAGGTTCTTATGGGTCCACCCTCCGGTACAAGAGTGTGGAGCGAATGAAGCCTATTGGCAAGCATTCTCTACTAGGTGCAAGTGGAGAAATCAGTGATTTCCAAGAGATTTTGCGTTATCTCGATGAGCTTATGTAAGGATTGATTGAGATTATAAGTACTTTTGTTTTGGTTTTTTTTCCTGAGGTTCTTATTCCTTGTCCACCCACAATTTTCATTTGGGTTTTGTTGGTAACACCTGTTTTTATTGTTTAAAACTTCTGACGTAAAATTGTTACTTTTGAATATTTGATTATTGTAGCTTGTATGACAATATGTGGGATGATGGCAACTCTTTGGGGCCTAAAGAGGTGCATAATTACTTGACTCGAGTCATGTACAACAGGCGTAACAAGTTCAATCCATTGTGGAACTCCCTTGTACTTGGTGGAGTTAAAAATGGACAGAAGTATCTTGGAACAGTAGGGTCGAATTTATATCTTTGTCCTAATCTTCAGAAATGAGCTATTTGCGGTTTTAAGGTTGTGACTGACCATTCTTATAACCATGACTAATCAGGTGAGTATGATTGGTGTAAACTTTGAGGACAATCATGTTGCAACTGGATTTGGAAATCACCTTGCAAGGCCAATTCTGCGTGAAGAGTGGCATCAGAACTTGAGCTTTGAAGATGGTGTTAGACTACTGGAGAAATGCATGCGTGTTCTCCTCTATCGTGATAGATCAGCCGTTAACAAGCTTCAGGTTTGGTCTTTTCTCTTTTTAACACTTTGACTCCATTTTTTAAATTAAAAAAAAAAAGAACATGCTATTAGATAGCAAATTCTGCAACAGTACAAGTGTGCATGGCATTCTAGGCTTTTGCCATTAGTTAACAATCCGTCTCAACAGATAATACTATTCTGATATACTCTAATATTATAATGGAAAATCTTGCTCATTGGCATTTGTTGCATGTGAATAACTGTTCTATAATTGCCTGTTAGATTTTTATATATGCAATTTTGGTTGATGTATTTCTCAAGATGGTTGTTAATCAAAATCTATTCTTTGGCCAAATTGTTGTGGTCTGTAACGTGACAATCAAAGGCAAAATTTTATCTATATTGACGATTGTGTATATGAAACCTTATGATTACAGATAGCTAAGATCACTGAAGAAGGTGTGACAATTTCCCAGCCATATTCATTGAAGACCTACTGGGACTTCTCTGCTTTCGCAAATCCTGCTCAGGGTGCTGTAGGATCATGGTAACGGTAGCAAACATTTCATCCTTTCCGGAATTTTAAATTGTCAAACATCAAACAACCAACCAACTAGGAATTAAATGAAAATTTGATTCTATCTTTATGTTTGATTGAAACGACGAGTTGTGATGCATCTTTATGGTTCTGAAAACAATTAAGTTTGAGGTTGAACAGTAGAATGTTGAAATAAAATCTTTCAAAATTTGGGCCTTAAAAAGCTTGAATGTAGACTAAACCAACGACTGGGCCCAGAGAAGCCTGTCCATCACTTGAATCGAACCCTTTTGTTTTGGATGTGAAAAGGGTAGGCCCAAGAAGTAAGAAGTTGGACCTTTTGTGGGGTCCAAGAATGCCAAGCAAGTGACACGTGGGCAAAATAGACTCCACCAAAAGAAAGGGCAGGACGATGCAAAGAAAGGGGTTGAGTGAATGGGGGTCAGGTCATTTCATAAAAGTTGAAAAGACAATTGACATTTTGGAATTTGGAAAAGACCCTTACTGTCTCACGGAAACTCATCTTAAGAAAAAAAAAAAAAGTTAGTTTTTAATTAATTTAATAATAAATATTTTTATCTGTTTCATCAATTTCACATCAGTCGTCATATAACATCATCAGATCAGGGACGTATCGGACGGTTGAAAGCGACACGCATTTCACGGACAGTAACCCGCGAGTTGAGCGGGTGCTTCCGCGAACTTCCTCACGTCAGGGCCCCCATCCCTTCTCCTAGATTTTCTCTGTTCTGTTCTGTCCTGTGGGTCCCAGTTCTTCTTCTCGCTAGAAAATCCTTTCGATTCTTTCCTTTAAAAAAAACACATTTCTTTTTTTTCCAAGGACATTTTCCCTTTTGAAAATTTGTTTTTATTAATTTAATTCCTTCTAAAAACAAACTAAAATCTTGTGTACTAAGCTAATAGTTAAAAAAATCTTTTACATTAAAACCTTTGCAAATGTTTTATGCAATAATAAAAATAATTGTAAAAAATGTAGTATTACATGTTTCTTGCAATTATAGCAAATTTCTGCAATTTATTGGCTGCTTGTTTTCTTTCATAATTACGTCACACGCAATCTTCAAGTTCAATTTTTGAATATGATTATAAAAAGTATAGTTTTTTTTGTGAATGTTACTTTGTATTAATATTATCTTTTTGAATGCAAAAAGGGTCCCTTCTCTCTTCCATCTATGTGATACAAGTTTGGTTCTCTTTTCCCCCTTTATAGCATTGTTTTGGATAATGCCTCTATTTATCAAGTAATTTAAACCATATTACTCTTTTTATTGCATTCACTCCATATAAAGTCACAAGCTTTTACATTACATATGAACATTTAGGCCATGGCTACATGGAGAGAGGTGAAAAAAACTGATGCTCAAACATAATCACCTCAATCATAAAAACTTGAACTGGCAAAAAAAAAAAAATTCATAATAACCTGAAATACGATAACCGTCTTTTAAGAGGGTAACGAAAAAAAAAAAGGAAAAAAAAAACTGTATCAACATTTACATGATAAAGAAAAGAGAAACAAGGGCTTTGTCAGGCATCGCCAGTTCCAGATCCTCCTAGTGTTAGAACCCTAATCCAACCTGAGCAGAATGCAGAAGAGTGCTCTGCTTCTTGTTCTGGTTCATGAGCTCCTTTTTTGCTACTTTCAATATACGTATACAAACTGATTTGGATTCTGTTTTGTGTTACAAAAGCTTTTTGGATTTGGCTGACTTTTACTTTGGTTTTACTCATGTATTTGCCTTGCATTTTAATTCCAACAGTCATTTACCAGTTTAGTTAATTGCTGTTTAGCCAGTTTGTGCTTAAATCAAGAGTTTACAGTTGGATCTCCAAGTCTTTTTTATTGCAAATTGTCTCACGTGCAAATTCTGTTATAGCTTTCAGGTTTAGTTACTTTGCTGTCGTAAGATCTGGTTATTATCATTTACTTGCTATTGTTTTAGTTACTTTGTGGGGGCATTAATACTTAGTCCGTTAATGGTAAGGTTAGGCTTAAAGTGTTTTTAGTAATGTATAAGTAATTTCATGACTGAGAGTAGTTGCATGATAAACTTCATCTTCTTTTAGGTACTTAAGCTTAGCTCAATTGCATTTCATATTCTTTTTATGTACTTCATGCATATAGATTATGTTAAAGTTCTAGTTTAATCTCATGACATTTTTCATAGAATTGTATTTAATTGAGGTGCCACATTTCAGTATTTAGTTTTAAGCACCAACCCTTAATTGCATTTCATATACTTTCATATACTTAATTGCAACTAGCTCTCAAACTATAAACTCATTTTCTTTTTTTAAATATTTTTTCAAAAGTTTTGTTATTGCTTTCTGTTTAGTTCCTTATATTTTTGTTGGGTTACAGGGATAAAAACATTTTTTAAAAATTTTCCTTTTTTTTATTTAAAAATAAATTAGTTGGTTAAGAAAAAATAATTTTTTTTTACAAATGAAGTGAAATTTTTTAGTGAAATGTGTTGGCATAATAAATGAAGCTAATTTAATTATATGTATTTTAGAGTTTTGATTAATCACATTTTATTATCCATAAGATTTTCAAACCAACTTAATCTCATAAATATAAGTTAATTAAGAATATTTTTAAGTAAACGTTGGTGTGTGGGTCCAGAATCTGATCTTTCTTCTAGATAAACATGTACTGTGTTGGTTTACACTTTGCAAATATGATTAAAAAAAAAAAAGCAAATTTGAAAAAATCACAACATAAAATATGCTTTTTCCTTTTAAACCATCGAAGTAAAATTTTAGTTGCTAGAAGTGTATTAGGATAAATTAATTACCTAACTGGCTGTGTGTCTTAATTTTCCATATGTTAAGGAGTTTTAAGGTGGTTGCTAAATCAACTGTCCTAACACTTCTCTATTAATGGAATAGTTAAATACTTGGATGTTAATATGTTACAACAAGTAGTCTTTTTTTCTTTAACTTTGTTTTATTTTTGTTTGTTGTTCTCCTTTTTTTTTTTTTTTTTTAGTTTTGTAGATAGTGACCCGCATCATTAAATGATGTGACTTAATCTCGATTCTTTAGCCCAATATTTTGTTGATGAAAATAAAATGTTTTTCAAAATTATAAGAAAATGCCAATAAAGCAGTTTTATCCTTATTCATTGGGCTTACTTTTTTATAATTACTACTTTTTTATGAGCTTACTTTTTTATGAGCATTAAGTGCTACATCACAGAAGTCACTAAGTGCTATACGGTAGGGAACGACTAGGGGTGTAATCGAGTCGAGTCGAACCAATATAGTGAGAAGCTCGAGCTCGAGCTTGGCTCCCAACTCAAGGCTCGATACTCGACTCGAACTCAATATAGTTTCATTTTTCTAGCTCAAGCTCGATTCGTGATCGAAATCGAGCTACTCGAATTCATTCGATTAAGCTTGATTAATATGTTAAAATAAGCTCGATTCTTATATTCGATAAGAGTTCGATTATTTATGCTCGAGTTTGAACTCAAATTCGAGATATTTTATTAATTAAAATAATAAAAAAATTTAAATATAAAAGCTTGATTAGGCTCGTGAGCTACTCGAACCGGATATAAGAATACTCAAACTCGGCTTGATCGATAAGTTAAGCTACTCGAGCTCGAGCTCGACTCGATAATAATCGAACCGAATTCGAGTTTTATTCGAATCAAACCTGAGTAGCTTGCGGTACTAATGTGTCATTTACACCCCTATGAGCCACCTCTAGAGTCTCAACATTTGGTGTGATCTTGGTCCTATGGTTAGACTTGGCTTCATAGGAACGTCAACCTTTAAAGGTAGAGAGATTGTAACATTCTCAATTTCATATTGAAAGAATGTGTAGATATGATTTGATATATAAATTGAGATTTGATCCCAAACTTTTGATATATAAGTTGAGACTTAATCCTAAACTTGTGAGGCACATTTTGTAGGATAAAATTGTGAGATTTTCAAATCAAAATGGACAATATTTTGCAGATTGGGTGTAGATCTTCATAAATGGTATCATGGCATCAGAGTGGTCACATTTCAATGTGGGATTGAGAGCGTTATAATTTTTTCACCTTTAAAGTTTGACGTCTCTGTCAAGTTTAGTCTAATTACAGGATCAAGATCACACTAGACATTGAGATTTTAGAGGTGACTCCCCACCTTGTAGCACTTAATGACTCATACAATGTAGCACTTAGTTTTCGTCAACTAGTGACCACTCTGATACCATTTGTGAAGACCAATACTTAACCTGCGAGGTATTATTCGTTTGGATCCGAAAGTCTCACAGTTTTATCTCATAAAAGATGCTTTACAAGTTTAAGTTTAGATCTCTGCATATATATCATTCTTTATTCACATATTTTTTCAATGTGAGATTGAAAATGTTACATATACTCAATAAAATCTTTCATTAAATGATTAAATATGACCATGAAAATGAAATTGATATCCCATTTTGTAAAAACTCGATCATGTCATTCAACGTGGACATTGAAGAATTCAGCACATTGCCTAATATGGGCAACTAATGTTTTTTCAAGATTTCGGCATAATCGAAACTTTTTTCCCTTTATTTTCATTCCTTAAATTTTTTTTCTCTATTTTGATAAAATTTTCATCTGCTTTTAAGTTAGAAAGTCATTTGAAAGGTATGAATCTAGTGATTATTCTTGGATGAAGTTACAAAGCCATAGGTAGGGTTGGCAATGGGTCGGGTCGGGGTGGGTTTTTGCTCGTCCCGAACCAACCCGATTTTATAACCATAAAACCCAAACTCGACTCAACCTGATTTTATATAACTGTAGCTGAATCAACCCGAAATTAATAAAATATTATTTTTTAAATATAAATATATAAATATATTTAAAATTTAAAAAATAATTTTTATATAATATCAGATTGGGTCAGATTTTCCTAAAATCTGAACCTGACTCTAACTTGACTTTTTTTTAATAATACTCGACCTGAAACCTAATTTAAAAAAAAAAAATTTTTAAAGGATTGGATCAAGTCGAAACCCGTCGGTTACGAGTTGGGCTGCTAACCTTAGCCATAGGGTATCTCTACTACTGCAAAGGGAAAGTCATGCAATCAAAATCAACTTACTTTCACTTTACTATTAGTTGGAACAAATGCTTTGCATATAAGCTTCAAATTTAAGCACATATATTTTGACTCAAAATGTACCTTCAAAATCAAACAAAAAATTTTTGATTAACACCACTGAAGTATCACAAGCTTTAGATCGAACTATTCCAACAAGATCATCTTGTATTAATCTAAACAATTTGCTTGAAGAGTTAGAAGTTTAATCTTTAACATTTACGTTTGGACTTCTTACTTTATTGTTCACAAATAAAGAAGCATAGGAGTAAAAGAAAAAAAAAACTATATTATTTTAAAGTAATAATTATAACTTCTGTTAAAGGTTGTTAATTTCAGTTATTAGAATTTAATTTTTAATAATTTAAAAAAATAATAATAAATAAATATGCTGAGTTTTTTTTTTAAACAGTGGTTGAATGAAAATCTTTCAAATTTTGAACCATGTAAAGCTTGTACGTACAAAACCAGTGATTGGGCCTGGGAGATAAGACTGTCTCTCCCTTAACCCTATGATTTTGGACCTAAAAAGTGTGGATCAAGAATTCAGGGGTTCAAACACTGCCAAGCAGGTGACATGTGGGCAAGATGGGACTCACAAAGAAAAAGAAAGGGATGACGCAAAGAAAGGGTTGAGAGAGCGAGGGGTCAGGTCATTTCCTATGAAAAAATAAAAGTTGAAAAGACAATTGACATTTTGGAAAAGACCCCTCCTTTCTCACTCACACTCACCTTCACCTATTTATTTTTACTTTTTTGTTGTTTTTTAATTAATTAATTTTAATTTTAATTTTCATTCTCTCATCAGTCATCATATACCATCAGCAGATCAGAGACGTATCCGACGGTTGAAAGCGACACCCCTTTCACGGACAGTATCGCGCGAGATGCGCGGGTGCTTCCGCGAACTTCCCCACGTCAACCCCCTTCCCTTCTCCTAGATTTTCTCTGTTCTGTTCTGTCCTGTGGGTCCCATTTCTCCTTCTCTGATCCTTCATTTTTCTTTCCTCTAAAAAAATAATTTTCTTTTGTTTTTTTTTCCAATGACTTTTTCCCGTTTGAAAAATTTTATTAATTTAATTCCTTCTAAAAACAAACTAAAATCTTATGTACTACAAACAATTTTTTAAATTAAAATAAAAAAGGTAGTATTCCATGTTTCTTGCAACCATTTAGTGACTATTTTTTTTTTTTAATAGCTACATCACATGTAATGTTCAAGTTTAATTTTGGTTCATGTTTCTAGAAAGTATAGTTTTTTTTGTTAATGTTGCTTTGCATTATTATTATCTTATTGAATGCAAAGAAGGGTCCCTTCTCTACTTGGATGATACCAAGCTTGATTCTCATTTTTTCCCTTCACAGAACATTGTTTTGGATAAGAGTTGCCTCTAGTTATCCAGTAGTTTAAACCACTTTACTTATTGGATTGCATTCATTACATACAAAGAGTCAAAAGCTTTTAAATGCTTACAAAACCCTTCCCCCCCCCCCCCCCCCCCAAAAAAAAAAAAAAAAGTGGGTCGTGAACTGAGATTAAAAGGAAAACAAGTCCTCATCTCTTTGATTAAACTCATAGGAAGACAGAGGTCTTGATTTCAAACAAAAAGTTTCTCACCCTTTCTCATGAATTGTGCCCAACTTATATATATATATATATATATATATATATAAACTCTTACATTTCATATGACCATTTAGGCCAAGGCTAAATGGAAAAAGGTGAACAAAACAAACTGATGCTCAAACACAATCAGCTTAATCATAAAAGCCTGATATACAATAACCATCTTTTAAGAGGGAAAAGAAAAAAGGAAAAAAAAATACATATATCAACATTTACATGATAAAGCAAAGAGTAAGAAGGGCTACCATATATATTTTTATCAAAATAAGGGTTATAATTTGATGCCAACAAGCAGGTTTTTATATTTCAGTAAAACGTCAGACATGGCCAGTTCCAGGTCCTCCTAGTGTTAGAACCACATCTCGAAGATCACTTCTTAGCTTTGGATCTTTTGCTGCAGATGAAGTAGCTCTAGTGACCATATGTCCATTTACTTGAGCTTGTCGAGTGCTGTGACTGGATTCTAGCGGAATACGCATTGTTGGTGGCTGAGAGGCCTTCAAGGATTCTGAATTACTTGAGCTGAGAAATGGCTGAGCAGCAGCAACCTGGCTTGTTAATGCAGGACTTTGAGCAAGCATTGGCCCTCTCGAGATTACTCCCGTCCCCTAATGTTATTAATCAAATAGAGTTAAAATAGGCACAGTTGAACAAAGAAATTAGGAAGTTCCATAATTAAGAACACATAGCTTACAGGTGCAAATAAGACCCCTCTGAATATCTTCCCATTAACAGTTGCTGTCATCAGGAAACCTGCGTCGAAGGCTCCATCAACTTTACCACGAACTTCGGCACCAAGCTGAGGGTAAAAACCCAAGTGAGAGGCATCAACAAGTGGAATCATACCATAAACAAGACAACCACCAAAAGAAGAGCAACAATGCTAATGGGATCATACACATTCAATACCAGACAATTTTGACAAGTAAAAAAGAAAAGTTTAGGTAATTCCAATCTTCAATCAATAGACAGATGCTTCAACAAAGACCAATATTTTAGTAGATTCCAATCAACAAACATCATCTATTCCATCAAATGCATAATTGGTATTTACTTTTTGAAAAATTGATGTTTTACCAGGTTGTAAATAGGCCCTGCCTCCAAGTGTTTCTGTTCCACAGATGGGTATTGCGTTCCTTGTTTGCCAGTATGAACAACATGACGATATTGTTCTGGTTTTTGAAGGTTTTGATGTTCTCTTATAAACTGCAGATCTTGTTGAGTTTTTTGGACCATATATCTGATCTCCTTATGGTTATTTGGAAAATTTTTAGGCTGAGAATTGCTTGGAATATGATGGAACTGCTTAAACAGGTTAAGTCCTTGAGACCCTGTGGAGCCTGTGGGCTTTTGTGCTGGGGCTTGTTCTTGATCAGATTGTGAAGGAGATGAATGCTGCGAGAGTGAAAGGGAATGTTCTTCTTGCTCTGATTCAACCTCCCATGCCTTTGAATTGGCAGTTCTTCTCCTCTTTGGATTTGAAGTATCTGAAGAGTAATGAAAATACGAACTTAATCATATTTGAGACATCAAGCTCTATCAAAGCCCTGAGGCAAGGAAATTTGATTCCAAACCAACCTGAACTGAATCGAGAAGAGTGCTTTGCTTCTTGTTCTGGTTCATGAGCTCCCTGCTTTGCTACTTCAATATCCCCAAAATAGATAGTTTTCTGCTTTAAAATCAATTAAACACCACTTATTCCACAAGGTCATAATAACTAAATGGAGTAGAAAATTTGCAGTTAATCCAGTCTATGCATTACCAAGTCATTTGGTGCTAATCTTAAGAATCTTCTTTTTTCTTGGTTCCAATGGCTTCCAAAAGTTTTGCACATGGAAATGTTATATCGACCATTAGGATGCTGTGTTCCAAGTTGTAAAACCAGTAACTCATTGATTGGCCGCTCGTCCTCCCCACACCTGCATACATTACGTAAAGGTCCATGAAATTACAAGTTGAACCTGATATCTCAAGATGAGAGACAGCGACGTAAAGCTATAATGTAGTCAAAGGAACTTACCCTCCGTAGATAGCAATATCTGATTCTGTGAAAACAGCAGTATGAGAAAACCGCCCTTGAGGCTGCTGGCCGCATAAATCTAGTTGAGCCCAACAACAAGCATTCACGTCTAGGACCCAAACATCATTGTAGTAATGTTTATCTCCCACTCCTCCAATAATGAAAACCTACAAAATCATAAACATGTGAACCCCCCAAATGATCATACCCATGATGTAAACATAAAATCCTATCCACTTGAAATTCTAATAAATATGCTTACAAAAATGAAATTGATCTCGTTAATAATGCTAACTTAGTATCATATGCTACCTTTGTTCCAATATTCACTGCAGCATGACCTGCTCTAACACCGGGTAAAGAGCCTTGAACAGCCAACTGTAAAGAAAATGAAAAAATCACGGGGAATTATAAATCATAAACGCGATATATCTGTCAAAGTGAAACAATTTGATTTTCTATAAACTGCATATGTGAGACTGGGTAAGTGAAATCAATACCCTTGACCAAGTTGAAGTGTCCATGTCAAACATGTCAACATCTCCATGATATCGATCACCACAGTCCCCACCATACACAACGAGCTTGTTCCCTATTGCAACAGCACTGTGACTGTCCCTAGGGACAGGGATATGACCTCTCACCTGAGGTGAACTCCATCTCATAGTCCTAAGGTCCAGAACATGCAAATCATTCAAGTAATTTGCTTCACCTTCACCACTTCCTCCAAAAATCACTACCTTATCTTCGCTGATAAGTGTGGCAGTATGACTTTCACGAGGAGAAGGTGCAACACCATAGCATTCAGCTCGCATCCACTCTTTTGATGCAAGGTCTAATACATGAAGATCATTAACCTTCTTAGAACCATTGGTGCCCCCAAATACCATCATTTTAGTCCCTACAAGAACAGCACTGTGGCTATCTCTAGGGCCAGGACCCTGCCCTGTGGTTTCCAGAGTGTTCCAAACCATTGTGTTGAGATTTAGCATAAGAACATCACTGAAATGTAGACCTCCGCAACAACCCTGTGATGGGCAAAAACAGGCTGATCAATATGAGCATTTTAAGGAAGTTCGAGATTATATTCCCAAAACCATTTCTTGATCTTTTCCTTCCTATAATTTACAAAATTCAGCAGTCCTTTGGCTCAATAAACAGCAAAACAGAACTAAAGAGTTTAATACTGGTTTGTTCTATCAGAAGACACAAAAGACACGATACGAGAGATGATGGCCAAGTGAAAAACACGAAATTAATAATTTGGTTCTATTTTGACAACATATCAGACCAGAGAGGATAAACAAGCCTAATGTTCACACAGTTTTAAAGCAAATGTTCAAGAAACTACTGTCCTTTTCCTCCCCTGTTACACAAAATTTCCAACCTAACATAATTTCCTCAAAAAATGTTGAACAACATGCATCTACAAGCTATTGAAAAAATAACAATAATAATAATAAAAGAAGAAACAGATTTTTCTCCCTTTTTTTCCAAGGAATCCTTCAAATCAAACTTTTTCCATGCATGACTGAAAACATGGATACATGATATTGACAAAATTTTAACAACTGAAAAAAAAAATTAAAAGAGAAGGAAGAGTAAGGTAAATGGAACAAGGAAGGAAGAAATAAAGAAGAGAGAGGTAGAGACAGAGACAGAGACAGAGAGAGTGAGATTGCTTTCTATTATATAAAAAGAGGAGTTAAATTTCATCCTAGCTATAGTCTTACTAATTAGAGAAAGTGAAACCAGGACAAACTTCAGATAACATTCCAACAAGAAGCATAAGAGAAAGTAGTAAAGAACTAAAACCTATGAAGAAAGTTATATGTTCCCTTAACCAAAGATAACCATACTGCAGAGAGAAAGAAAGAAAAAGAAAAGAAAAAACAGTACAAGCTTAACCAAAGAATAAATAAATTTGAATAATCAGAACATATTGATAAAACTATAAGTGAAAAAGGCAACAAAACACCAATGAAAGAAAATTTAACATACCCCAAAAACATAAACAACCCCATTAGAATAGCAGGCAGAGTGCCCCCATCTCTCAGAAGGACTAAAACCTGAAACTTTAGGATAGAGCCACATTGCTTTCTTCTTTGCAGTTTCAGCTCCAAGAGACCCCATTGTTTTGTGTGAGGTGGTTTTTTTTTTCTTCTCTCTTTTAAGGGGTCTTTTGCTTTGGTTTAGCGTTAGTTCTACTTCAACACAGTGCTTGACAATGATGAAGCAAGCAGAGGAGAGAAATAGGGGGTCAAAAGAGGACATGAACAGCCCAAGTGATATATCAACTATCAATGTCAATAGACATGAAAAGATGGGCGCTTTCAAGTCTATATCACTGTGGCAACCAACAGCCACGGAAGTTTATGGTGAAAACAACATTTTTTCCCTTTCTAGTAGCCTATACGTATAGTTTATCTTCAAAGAAAAAAAAAGGATAACCATTTATGTTATACATGGGTAATAGGTCTTCATTACTATATATAAACAAGTGATGTAAAATCATGGGACTGTGACTGTTGTGTGAGAGAGAGACTTTTATTTGTTATGTTTGTGAGAACCCATTTATTTTTAAAATTTGTTTCTATACTTCTTCATATTTGTCTAACTGAAAATAATGGAGTGGGGTTGTTGGGGTTTGTGGAAAATGATGGGTAGGGTGTCATGGAGTTTTTTTTTTTTTTTTTTCAGCATAGGTTAGAGAGTAGGGAGGGAAGGAGGTTTCCCTTTCTTTCTCTTTTTCAATGTTTTTGTGAGCATGATGTTGGGATTGGTGGATGAGAAGCTTTCTTCCTCTCTTTATTTCTCTCACTCTTTCTCTCAACCCCAAGTTTCAAGGTGGGTTATTGACGTTGATCTAGAAATGTCTCTTCTCAAGGGTGTTTGGGGGAGGAAGTGTCGGACTTTGAACCATGGAAATTCTTTTTAGTTTTGGGAAATGGAGTGGTGTTGTCACTGTTTCCCTCAAGCTGTTACACATGCCATGAAACTTGCGTTTCAAATGGGATGAATATTTTTCCGTTAGGTCATGCATATGGATTGGAATTTGGATACCATACCATTTCTTCACAAATAAGAACTTGTGCTACAACCTGATTTACTGTTCATTCACTAATTATTTGAAACATAATATAGACCAACATGTCTTATTATTCAATCCTTGACTATATATTATAACATCATCTCAAGTACTAACATATGGTCTGGTAGCATTAGATTTTTCAAGGTGATATTGATAATCAATAATTTATTAATATAAAATTTCTCAAATACCCATGAAAATGAAATGGTATCTATGCTGCTCAAAGTGCAGTCTAGTTTTCTACGTTATATCGAAAGGGAACAGGACAGCCCATCAGTCGTCACTCTCACTCATCACCATCAACTTCTTATGATTTACTAGCATCAATCGTAACTCTGTTAACTAAGCTCCTGTCGTCCTTTTGCTGAGAAAGTGAATATGAATGAATACATATCGTGAGAAACAGAAAACTCGGACAGAAAAAAAAAATGAAAACATTAACATTGATACTGTCATACAATTGATGCTGATGGAAGAGAAGAGAAGAAGTAGATTATTATTATTATATAATAATAGAATACACGCGACAAACACGGGAGAGCTTTGGGGCAATGGCCTACTAGTGAAGTTGCGTGCCTTGATTCAAGTGATCCTCATTGAAACTTGTGGAAATGTAAACTAGGAGACTATTACCATACACTGTAGACTGCAGTAGGAGTAACTCTTTTCTTTTCCTTTCTTTTCTTTTCTTTTCTTTTCCTTGAAATCAACAGACAAGAAAAGAAATGAAAAGAAAGACATCTATCTTATCGAGAACGAATAATAACGCAACAATATCACACAACTTACTGTTTTTTTTAATAGTATTTCCATTTCTTATAGAGTTGGGTTAAACAAACAAGTTAAAAGCAGACTTGAAAATAGAAAAGGAATAGTTTGAAGCTGTTGTTTGTTTCCGTTAAATATCAAATACATATAGTTTTCTCTTTGGGGGGGGGGGGGGGGGGGGGGGGTGGAAAATGGAATGGAAAGTTTGAAGAGCGTGTTATACTGTTATTATTGTTGTGTTGAGTGGGTGCCTCTTAGATACTGTGATGTCTTGGAATTTGAGGAGCCTACCTGCGTGACGGGTACGTGCCGTTGACCCTAAACGAAACCCAACACCTACCCATAAGCAACGGCACTTCTTGGTTAACACAACCAAATTCTATGTAATGTAACTATTTCAAGTCAAACCTTGTGAAATACCATTCAATAATCTCATCTACATCTCGGGTTCAATCCAGGTCCTAGTATTTGATACCACTACTTGCTATCTATAAATATATATATATATATATTTATATTTATATTTCAAACCTGATCAATGCACTTGCAAGGGATTTAGTCGTTTGTTTAATGTAGCAATATACAAAAACATCTGTCACTTACCACACATAAGACTGCATCTATGCCTGACGAGGGATTCCAGAGTTGCTCTACCCCAGCAGATAATATGAATCAATGTTTTAAGTTATACGCCTTCATTAACGATGGCTTATTACATTTACATGTTCTCCTTATACAATTCATTCTCTCAGCGATGTTAAATTCACATTAACCCCCAGAAGAAATTTATTTACGATCATATTGAACGACAAAGGCAAATAAGAATACTTAAAAGTTCCATGAAAATTTTTTTCAATTGATGAATGCTTTACAAATTTATACAGGTTGGGCACAATGTTAGTAATAATAAGAAAAATCAAAATCAGCTGCTCATCTTGTTGAGTTTAAATTATTCAGACTACTAAAGACTTTAAAACAATAAAAACACTGAGCAACCGTGTGAGATAAAAACACTGAGCAACCGTGTGAGATCAAACTATATACCTTAGGCATCTTCTGAATGGATGTGGAAAGTGTTGAAGATATGGATTATGGAATATATTTCACAGCTCATATTACTTTCAGACTGCCTTTGCCCTGAAGAAATATCAACAGCTGTTAAAAATTGAAGAAAAGAAGGAAGACAATCATATCAAAATACTCACACAAAGATTTATGTACACTTACATTATAACTGAAATTGAGGATCAAAAGAGAAAAGGCTTCTTTGTTCTTCTGTAGGATTCAACAACCATTGGCAGAACATCCATGCGGCTCCAACAACTGATAAAAGTGACAGCATTGCTAGAAATCCAAAATGTGAAACATCATTTGCAATTATTGCAACTCCCAACATTAGAGACTCAGCTAAACTTGCAACAGAAATCTCTGTTGTCCCAATAAGATTTGCTTTGGATGATGGAATTCCTGTTTGAAGTATCTGGGCCCCAACAACATCATATGACATATGTCCCAACCTTGATAATACCTGCATACAGGATGTGGGGCTATTTCAGGTATTATGCAATTTTAAGACCGGTTAGTGTACTTTCTTCTCTCTTTCATATTTTACATGACCATTTCATAGTTGCTATAGGAACTCCCTACATTGGTGGCAGGTTTCCTGCGCTCAGCTAGTACACTCAAACCCATTAGAGACATCAGCATGGATCGGGATGGCTCCACTGACTTCCAATACTGCCAAAATATTAATTATATAGACCTTTAGAGAATCTATTTGTCTTTTCTGGTGCTATTAGCGGACAAGAAATATATCTACGACCATGACCAATGCTGTACACAAGATTGAGTCATGCCTTCCTAGATTCCCAGTTCACCAAGGCAACTTGGTTTCCACTAAAAGTCAATGGTCTAGTCCATGAAGAACATTGAAGTTAAAGTTGTTCTTACAATCAAACACAAGAAGAAAAGAAGGGGACTCCTCTGGGAATGAGATCCACTTTGGTAAACAGCAACAGCTATGGTGAGAAGTGAAGCCTGAAAAACTAATCCAACTGCTCCAGCCTGTTTGAAGGGAAAAATGGCCATTAGAACCAGCCCCAGAATAGAAAATTCTAGAAGACAAAACCAAAAACAAGAGCCAACCTTTAAAATGCCAAATCTCCTGACCAAGGTTGCAGATAAAAAGGTTGCTGCAACACCCATAAAAGCACATAATCCACTAAACCCCCCAATGACAGATGGATTTAGACCTGTTAAAAAAACCCACATAGCACTTTGGAGTCAGAAATGAATTTTTGCAAGGCTACAAGGTCTTGTCCTCAGCTTAAATATAGAATCCATTCAATTAATCAGAAGTCATCCAGCAAATGAAGATAAAAGACTGTAGTTTACAATCAACTATAAGCATGGAGTGACTTCAAGGCATATCAGTGCACACAATGCTTTAAGAGATCAATTTCAGACCAAAACACTGTTATCATGTCCTCCAAATGATGATGGTAATAAGCCCATCTTTTCTGGAACCATTTTTTTTTGCTTTCATAATCTTCCAGGTACAGTAACTTTCTACTGCTAGAATTTGCTTGATGTAGCTTGTTTCAATCTAAACAGGGAATTCTCCTCAAAACTTGGTACAAGCTATGGACAACCAAGAGAATTACATCAAAATAGATCATAATAGGTAGAAAAATACCACGCTGAGTTAAAAATGCCGTCATTAAACTGCCTGGAGTGAGAACAACATTGAAGTAGAGGAGCACATATGCTAGGCTTGCAGGAAGAACAGGCTGCTGTATGTATTCTCTCCATCCAAGCTTTATGGCTTCCAAACCTGTATTAACTGCTCATCGACAAAATGCAATCACTTACTATAGCAAGTACAAATCAACCTTTGGAAAAGATACAATCCACTAAATAAAGCAAGAAGAAAATTAGGCTAAAAGTATAAATAAACAAGTTTTACCAAAGTTATCAGCATCTGGAAGAGGCTCCTCATCAGATGTTCTGCAACAGGTTTGTGAACATTTAGAGCGGTCAAGAACTCCAGTAGAAAGTTTGTTTGTTAACCATGTCAGAGAAATCTGAGGAATGGAGTTAGAATTTAGAAGAGAAAGTAGACTTCATTCTCCAAACAAGGAAAAGATAACAACAACAACCACAAAGGCAATTACCATAATTGGTAATGACCACATCATCAAACCAGCAGCAAACTTTAAGCAGGTTACTGGATCATATTTAGAGAGAATAATTCCAAATAATGATGTGCCTGCTATCTGCAATTATAGATGATAATGAATCTCTTGTTCACAAATTTCAATAATAATATTTAGCATGAAAAACATTCCGTTACTTGATTGCTAAGATAACTGCAATTTTATAAATTTTCCAGCATTTATTTTAGGATTCACCTCTATGGATTATAATTTATAAGTAAACTGAGAATTTTTTTTATGGCTTGAAATAAAAAGATAATTACAAAGAAAGATCCTAAGATTATCAAATACCTCACAGAGCAGATCAATTCGATTGAGAACAGCATTTGCTTGTGCCAGTGCAATTGGTCTATTTATTCCAGCTAACTGCAAACACAAGAACTCTAGTTTAATTCATAATCCACTTTCCAAGAGATGGATGACCAATATTTCCTGCGAAGAAAACAAGCAAAATGCACAGAATAAAGTACTACCAGTACAACCCAGTCACGCTCCATGGCAACCCCCAGTGCCACTCCAGATAGCCTCTCGATGGCCCCTGATAACACTAGCACAGCAAACCAAGGACGGAGAAGAAGAGACGAAGCAGAAGCAGGGGAGATAGTATGAGCATGAATTATCATTGCTGCTGACAACAACTGAGCAGAAGCCTGGCAGATGGAATAAAATTGGACAAAAATTAGAACAGTATTAATTTTACATTTATCTTGAATAAAAAGAAAATTTATTGGAAGTACCTGCACAACATTCAAAAAGATATATGAAGGTACTCTTGGAGAATGATCCATAAGTTTGCCAACCAAAGGGCCTCCACCGATTATAACAAGCTGCTAACAAAAATTCTGTTAGAAAGTACTCTATCATCTGTCGTTTTATGTAGTGAATTTATGTTGTTAGGCTAAACTGTACCTTAGTAAAGAATCCCATGACTGCCACCGGTAGAAGGCTTGGATGAAGTAAAGCGATAGCAGAAGGCCAAGCAAAATTCCAAAGCTGTTCCACTAAATTCCCAGCCAGGCAACTAGCATAAAATGCTGAGATATGAATGTCCTCAAAGTTAGCAGCTGATAAGACCATGATTGTTGTAAAATAATTGGACAAGATACAAAATTAAAGGAGACTTCATCACAAGATATAAAATTACAGGACACTTCATCACAAACAAATTTGGCTGCATTCAAAATAATGTGTTCAAATCACAGCGTAACAAGTTTATAGAACCTGGTACTCTTTACTACAAATTTAGGAAAATTAGTTTAAATAGGTTTATGCTCTAAGTGACAACTTTACGAAACTCAATCCCCAAAGCACAGGGAGGGGCGGAGGGCTACAACAACTAACCTTCTTAACACTGTCATATACATACAGCTGAAATACTCAAAATTAAAATCAGTCTAAGTCTGTGAGAGTATTACATCTATCATAGTGTGCTTTGATTAGACCTACCATACAATCCCTCCGGGTGCGCTGGGGTTGCTGCAAGGGCTTTCTGCTCCTCCTCTGATAATACCTAAATAAGAAAAAGAATAGAACAACAGAAAAATGTTAGAGAATATTGAACACGAGGTGAAAATAAACTCATAAATACAACGAGGAACATACTGGCAATGTTGTCAAAAGACTATCTACATAAGCATCCCCAGTTAGTATACTCAAAGATTCAGTCTCAAGAACATCAGATTTGAGCTGAAGTATTGGAGTTGTACAACAACAACCAATATCTGTTGCAGATATATCCTCATCCTCGGTAGCCACATGGTTGAAGTGTACATCAGTATTTGTTATTGAACACCTCGATTTAAAGCTGTCAAACCTATAACTAAACATGATTAGCTGCCTCATTCAATCAGTTCTTTGAATTACTAAAAACAGCTTTTCCGGAATAGGTTACGAACTAATTTAACTTGGAACCATCAATTCTAAATGTCATAAGACATTGCATCAAAATTAGAATTCTTTGTTTTCGTTTGCCATATTCAATTTAAGAGCAACAAATTAAGCCATTACCTATGAGTAGTAGAAGAGGAGCTGAGATTCAACCATCGGCTAGAAGAGAAGCGATGGCGAATTCTAGAAGCAGCTTGTCTCGATATAGAGGCTTCTCTTCTGGTAGCAGAGAAGTCAAACAAATTGAAAGAGAGCTTATAGTTTGTAACCGTGACCATAGCCATGTTGGCTTTAGCTGTTGCTTATTTAATTTCTTCTTCCTCAAGTGCCCAAATTTGAAGCACCAATAATCGCTTTTGAGTTCTTCCAAACTCATGCAGCCTTGAAGAAAGCAAATTGAATCACAGAAGTAGCAATCTTTTCCACTCTTGGGTTAGTTTCTTTGACACCCAATGCTCTCTGGGTATAGCTTCAAATGAGTCAAAAAGAATAAAAATTGGAACTTTTTAAGTGCCAAAAGGAACTGATTCAGTTCTTGAGACACCAAATGCTATCTGGGTTTAGCATCAAATGAATCGAAAAAGCTTTCTTTATCTGTTTCCTTAAACAAAAAGTGGAAGCTTTCATGTGTGACAATTAACAGGTTCAGTTTCTAGATACCAAAACCAATCTGGGTTCGCGTTCAAACGGGTAAAAAATTGGAATTTTTTCCTGTGTAACACAAAGAAATGGGGTTGGAGAGGTGATTTGTGGAAAGTGGAGGCTTATCCGGGTACGATATTTGTGTAAAAGTCCGCCGGTGGGCGGATAGATCGGAGGGGAGAGATTGTGTGGCCGTCAAATTTGATTGGTGGCACCAGGCTTCTGGATGTGGGTCCATTACAAGCTTCATTCACCAGTTGGATTTTGCCAAGTTGTGCCTTTTTTTTTTTTTTCCTTCAACATAAAGATGCCAAGTTGTCATTTAAGTTTCCACGTTCTTTGAAATCATTGACAACTGGGACTTCCAAGATAATAACACCCCAAAAAAAATTATAAGTAAAATTTTGGAAATAAACTTTTTATATATAATTACAAAATTATACCACTCATTTTTTTGGCTTTAAATTCCATTTTTTCATTTTTTATCGGCCAAAAAGATTCTTTTTTTTTTTCATTTTTCTCTCAATGTAAAGCAAATGGAGCCAAGTTTTCTTATAAGAAGTAGAGTACATATATGGTCAACCTTAAATGATACTCTTATTTATGAACATAGTAAGCACATATCGCATTGTTCTTTATTAATTAATCTATTTATATGAATATGACGTAATCTCTGATTCCCTTTCAATTGAAAATTTGAAGATAGATAAAAAATTCTAATGCAATGAAATTTAATTTTCTGGCAATCTGCCGATCCATCCATCTTGGTTTACGAACGACGATAACGAAAATTCTTTCAGTTGGGATGGATTAAGCTTCTTTTCCCATGGAACACGTTTGGAAGTGTCAGATCCTGGTCCTTTACAGTTCACCTCAGCGTAGGTAAAATTTTCTCTAAAATTTTATGGAAGAACAATGAAACATTAATCAGTATCAAATTCAAGAGACAAAATTTGCATTAAATCAAAGAAGAAGAAGAGTTTACTCTTTTCCAGCGTAGTTCCAGGCATACCACCCTTCAGGAACCACCACTGAATTCATTGTTGTGTCCTGAAATATCACTCTAGAATAAGGACGATAGGCTCTTCCTAGATAAGCTTGCATAGTTCCAAAGATTTTTCCTCGTTTAAACACAAAACCGCTAGGATCCTCTGATGATTCTCTACCCTGAGCTGTTATATAGCCTTGACGACGTTCTGAAGAATATGCACCAGCAGTCACATTTATTGAGCACTCCTGCAGCAAAAAAAATTATTAACATCTGTTGATTGCTAATGCAAATCCTGTTCAGGTTTTTCTTTTTGTTTTGTTTTTTCTTTTTTTTTTTTTTGCAAAAGTTTTGAGATGATTTTTTTTTTCATTAGTACTTACCTCATAGAAAGATTGGCCACGACCCCATATAAAATCGACTGCCCCTTCAATATAGCACTTGTGGAAGTAATGGCGGCCTCGTCCGTCCCATAGCGTATCTTGCAACCCCAAAAAACCACACTCGAAAAATGCAGACTTCTCACCTAGGATTCTTGCTGCAAGTGCCTGTGTTATAGGGGGAAGTGATCCGTCGCTTGACAGATGTTTTAGCAGCAACGCATGGTTATACGAGTTCTGCAGTAGAATCAACAGCTTGGTTTATCCACATTTAAGCACTAAGTTCTTCTATTAAGCATTTACTATGGTCGATTTTACTTTTGGGTGGGAGGGTGGTGATTTATGATAGAAGAATAGGAAAAGTTAGAAGACTATTAACCCTTGTTGTGGCACTGTGAATAATTTAAAACACAAATATATCACATAATATAATTACTTTTGATTTTGGACAATTGAACGGTAATAACTGATGTATTGGATACCTATATAATATCAAAATACGATGAAGAACAATCAAGTCTTTAATTTACTTAAAACCAAAGGAAATTACTTCTGTTTCAACACGGTAAGCATTCTTACATGGGAAAGAATTCATATGGATCATAACAATCATATTCTCCTATATATATTTTAGCACATGAAAGTAAAAAGATATATATATATATATATATATATATATAAAAGCAAAGAAACTTTAAAGTAAAAGACAAAGAAAGTTTAGCTTGAAGCTTCACCTTGAAAGTGAGGCCCTTGGCAACTATATTATCGGCATTGGAGGTGAAAGTAGTACTAGTATCTGTTCCTTCATGGGCGTCAAAGGTAATGGTTGTGACACTTCGATCTTGTCCTTCAAGAACAATACAAGGCTTCTCTCTTGGAATGGTTACCTTCTCCCTGTTTTATTTTGATTTCAAAAGAAAACAAGGCAAACTAGTAATTAAGCTAGTGTTATATATAACATTAATTACTTGAGTTGGTGAAATTTTCACTAACTATCTGTAAATTCAAAAGAGAAAATTACTTGTAGACACCGGTATTAATTTGAATTTTTATCCATTGACCATTGTTTGGAGGAATGGAATCGATGGCAGATTGAATGGTGTTAAAATTTCCACCACCAGATTTGTCTACGACGAAGGTAGATGCAAAGCCACCGTTTACAGTGCTACAATCAGCATACGCTATGTGAGGGAGCATTGCCAAACGAAGGGCTGACAACATGAGAATAAATGGTGCTATAAGCTTCATCCTGGTTCACACTGAGTTTCAAAAGTATCTTAGAATACATTAATGCCAAAAGAAAAGGGTGGGACTGGGATATATATAGAGGTGATTTGGCTCGTATGGAAAATCACTAGTATAAATCTACGTATAGTAGCTATTAATTCCAGCCAGATTTTGTAGCATATGACTACGTGGATCTTGCATGCATGTATATCCATTGAGTTCATGCAATTATTTCCAATATAATGAATTTACAAATTTAACCAACAAAATACATATTTACAAGTTATTGGAAAAGTCTAATCTGATATGATTTCTCCCAAAAAATAGTGGAACTTTCCAAACTTACATTCGGATGGAAATAATTACATATCTTGACTTGATATTATTATGATCTTTCACAATATTATTATGATCTTACATATGCATTTATGGTATCTCGATATGTTTTACTAGATGATTAGTCATCAATATCTCATAATTTTCCGTAGCCATAATAATTTGCATTATGCTGTCATAACAATTAGTTAAAACCTCTTATTGATAGTTACAAATTGTATTGCTACTAAAACGAAATTACATAACACTTCTTACAATGAATAAGGAAAGGTATCTAATGAAGTTGGAAGCAGAGCCAAAATGTCTTAGAAACATGTTTTAGTAGTTATTGTTGGTGCTTAATCTTTAACCTTTCACACAAATAAATATTATGAATATAAAAAAATATTTTTTGATTTAAACCTTCAATTAGCGTATATAACTTAGAATTCTAACAAAGTTGATGGTGTCCGCAGATTAAACCTCAACTCCTAATGTTAAAATTGAAGATATAACACACATAATATTTATTTAATATTATGTCAGAGGTTTATAATCACTTTAGCACTATTATGACCATGTGCTTATCCTTATTCATAAACATTTACAAGAAAGTTTTCAATTTTCTTGTTGAAGCGACACCACTTCTATGTTTATAAAGATGAAGTTTCTTATTTATGTCTCCATTACTATAGACATTTAATTATTAACTCCATTAAGAGTTCAATCTCATCCTCCATTTACGCAATGACTTACACTAGTATTCCAAATATATAGAATGGGTTGACTAATGTTTACAGACACATAACAATAATTTGTTATTACCTATTAAACTTTGCAATTAGAGGTTACTAATTCAAAATTAGGTTCCCATTATTGGTGTCTAAAAGGAATTTTAAACCCATTCCACTTGTGGTGCTTCTTACCAAATTTCTAGGTAGTGCCTTGGTAAGAGGATCTGCTAAGTTTTAAGCAGATTTAACATATATGATGGTAATTACCCCATTTTTATCAATTCTCTTATATAATCATGTCTTAGACTAATATGTCTAGATTTTCCATTATAAATTTCACTATAAGCTCTAGATATAGTAGCTTCACTATCACAGTACAAGGAAATGGCTGTCATTGGTTATGGCCACAACTCTATATCCATTAATAAATTTCTTAGCCATTTAGCTTCCTTACATGCTGCAGCTAAAGCTATAAATTCATATTTCATAGTTGAATGTGAAATGCAAGTTTGTTTCTTGGATGCCTAACTAATTGCACCACCTCCAAGGGTAAACATCCATCCTGAAGTGGATCTATTGTCACTTATACTAGTGATCCAACTTGCATCTAAATATCTTTCCAAAACAGTTGGATCTCCGAAATAAAATAAGCCAAAATCTTTAGTTCTTTTAAGATAACTTAGAACTCTTCCTCTGGCTTTCCAATGACTTATACTATGCTTACTTATATATCTCGATAACTTGAAAATAGTAAAAGCTATATCTGACCTAGTACAATGTATAGCATACATAATACTTCCAATAGCACTAGTATATTCAAGTTGTGCAATTACATTATCTTGATTTTCTGTTAATTTTTTACTTGTATCATATGGAGTATTGATTTCTTTTATATTGAGATACTTAAACTTATTAAGCAGTTTCTCAATATAATAACTTTGATTAAAAATAAAACCCTTATTATATCTCTTAACTTTAATTTCCAAATGATATCAACTTCATTTAAATCTTTCATTTTGAAATTAGAAATCAGATACCTTTGGTTTCATTCATGCCAATCATATTAGTACCAAAAATTAACATATCATCCACATAGAGACATATTATAACTCTATATTCTTTAGTAAATTTTGAGTAAATGCACTTATCTGCTCCATTATGTTTAAAGTCATTGGCTACTATGATTGAATCAAACTTTTCATGCCATTGTTTAGGAGGTTGCTTTAGCCCATAAAGTGATTTAATTAATTTACAAACTTTATTCTCATTACCTGAAAGAATAAAACCTTCTGGTTATTCCATGTATATTTTTTCCTTTAAGTTACTATTTAAAAAAGCTATTTTAACATCCATTTGATGCACATACAATTTATGAATGGAAGCCAAAGCTATAAGAACTCTAATGGATGCTATTCTAGCTACTGGAGCATATGTATCAAAATAATCTATGCCTTCCTTTTGTTTAAAATCTTTTACAACTAATCTTGCTTTAAAGGTTTGTATAGAACCATTTGTATTATATTTCTTTCTAAACACCCATTTATATCCCATAGGTTTAGAACCTGGAGGTAAATTTACTAAGACCCATGTATTATTGGACATGATTGAATCCATTTCATCATTAAAAGCTTCTTTTCAAAAAGCAACATCTCTTGAAGTCATAGCTTCATTAAATATTTTAGGGTCTTCATCTACATTTAGTAGAATTGGTATTTTCTTAAACACTTTGGTTCTATTCCCTTCTACTAGGAATATTATAGAATTTGGAGAAACAAAATCAGAAAGCAAAAGATTATCTTTTCTAACTCTTTTGCTCATTCTAATTTCAACATAATCATTATTTTCTTTTCTTTTATTTTCATTTGTAGGAATCATTTCAATTTGTTTCTCCATATCAATTTTGGTATCACATATAAACTTATTTTCAAAAAAATTCTACATGAATAGATTCAACAATAACATTAGTATTTAAATCAAGAAGTCGATATGCTTTTGAATTCTGTGCATAACCAACAAAAATACTTTTAATACCTCTAGGTCCTAATTTTGATTTATGAGGATGAGGTATTTTATAAAAGGCAATGCACCCCCATATTTTAAAATAATCCAAATTTGATTTTCTGTCATGATTCCAAAGTTCATATGGTGTCTTTAAGAATTTCTATTAAAAAATTTTATTATGTATGTGGCATGCTGTTAAAAGTGCCTCTTCCCAAAGATTCAGAGGTAATTTAGCATTTAACAACATACTATTTACCATATCAACCAAAGTTCTATTTTTTTTTCGGCTAAACCATTTTGTTGGGATGCATAAGGTGCTGTCCTTTGATGAATAATTCCATTATCTTCACAAAAAAGAGAAAATGAATCTGAAAAATATTCACCACCCTTATTTGTTCGAAGAATTTTGATTTTTCTTCTCCTTTTGATTTTTAACAATTGATTTATATTCTTTGAATTTATCAAAGGCTTTGCCTTTTGTTTTCATTAGACACACAAAAGTATAACGAGAACTATCATCTATAAATGTTATAAAATACCTTTTTTCTCCTCTTGTTAATAAATCATTTAGCTCACAAATATCAGAATGTATAAGTTCTAATAATTTTGTATTTCTTTTAGCTTTAGAAAAATGTTTCTTAGTCATTTTTTGCTTTGACACAGATTTCATATTTAATGTTATGATTTTTCTAGTATGTTATATAACCATGCTTAGTCATATGATTCATATAATGATAATTTAAATGTCCTAATCTAGCATGCCATAAAAAAGAAGAATGCTCAACAATATAACCAGAAACATTATTTATTTCATCAATGCTTAGTTTAAACATACAATCATTGGAATATCTTTTTCTAATGAATACACCATTTTTGGAGACTATAACTTTATCAGACTCTAGTACAATCTTAAAGCCTTTTTAACATAATAGATTTGCAGATACAAGGTTCTTTCTAATCTCAGAAGCATGAAAAACATTAATTAGAGTTAATTTCTGCCCTGAGGTGAATTTCAATTCAACCATTCCTTTTCCAATCACTTTGGTAGGAACATGATTTTCCATAAAGATTTTTTCTGGTTTCTTGCATTCTTCATAAGTCTTGAATTACTTTTTGTTGTTGCAAACATGAATTGTTACACCAAAATCTAGCCACCAATCAGATGACTTATTTGTAGTAGCCATATGAACTTCAGTGATCATTCCAATTTGCATGTCAATCACCATTGCAACAAGTTCATTAATTTTTTGCTCAACCAGATTTGCCTTGCTTTCAGATCTAGAACCAATCTTAATTTCAACATTTTTAAATCTGTAATCTTTAATCAAATGTCATTTCTTTCCACAATGGAAACATATTTTGTTCTTGTTAAATTTGGACTTCTTAAATCCATTTTTTTTACTTTAAAATTGTTTTGAAATTTACCAAAAGACTTGTGAGTTTTTTTAAAATTTTGTCCACTCACGTAATTCATATTGGAACCTCCAAGGAAGAATGCATCTTTTGCACGATTTTTTGCTTCAATCTGTATGTAAGTTTGAAATTCTTCAATAGTGAAAGTATCTGTTGAATACAGAACTTTCTTCTTATATCCATTCCATGAAGGAAGAAGTTTTGACAAAATAGCTCCAACTTGAAGTGAATCAGGAACCTTAATTTCCAACTCACTTAACTTAGAGACCAGAATTTGCAACTCGTGCACTTGGTCCATGATTGGTTTATCATCAGTTATTGAAAATTAAAAGTATTTCAAAGCCAAAAACTTATCCGTACCTTTCTTTTCGTTCATGTATTTGTGCTCAAGAGCAGTCCATATCTCTTTTGGTGTTTTCATATTTCTGTATAGGTCATATAGACGGTCAGATAATGAATTCAGAATATAACCTTGACAAACTAGTTCATCTTCTTCACGTTTGCTTCTTGTTGCCTGAATAGTATCAAAATCTTCAAGAGTTGGTTTTGGAATTGGTTCCAAATTTGGATCAAGTACATAAAACATCTTCAATGTTGTCAATAGAAAAACCATTTTGTCCTTACACCTAGTGTAGTTTGATCCATTAAAACGATCAAGTCTGATTACATCTTGATTTTGAAAATGAACATTCATGCTTGAATCCAAATTTATAGCAGTAGTAGGGACAATAGTAGATGTAGTATCCATAATTGCCTTTAAATTGTTAATAGATTTAAGAAAAACAAAAATAGTAAGAAAGAAGAAAATATAGCTTTGAGGCGTAAATAACACTGTCTTAAAGGCAATTATGCCTATAGGATACAATAAAGCCTTAAAACTCTCTAAATCAGAAGTAGTGAAAATGATTATACTGAAAGATTTATTTATAATGAATGAACAGATATAAACTTCTATTCAGATAGTTATGACCTTCTATATAATCATGACCTTTATGAGTAACAATCTATTTATATTTAAATAGTTATGACCATTTGTCATATGATAATTATTTTTATTCAATCATAATTATTTAAAATATGAATAAAATTAATACAAAAATTAATTTTATTCATCAATAATTAAATCTTTCTATCCAATGTGGAATGCACCACATTCTAAACTACCAACAGTTAGGGCAGCAGCCATAAACATGTTTAAGGGTGGATCTTAGGTTGTCTTTGGATCCATCCTCCTTTGTTTATGAAAGTGTCGAGATTTACTAAATAGCTCAAATCTTGAGGTGACAGGTTCTTCTCCCATGGCACGCGCTTGGACTTGTCTGCCCCAGGTCCTTTACAATCTACCTCTGCATAAACTATAGAATTTCTGCAAAATTTTTATGAAAGAAATTGTCAACAACCATGCTCAATTGATTCATTAATTACAATTAAGATGAATATTTTTTTCAAGGCATAAAATCTTACTCTTTACCAGCATAATTCCATGCTGACCAACCCGTCGGAACAATGATATTGGACATCCTTGTCCGGTAAAACAATACTCTAGCATATTTTTTATATGCTCTTCCTAGATATGCAGGGCCGGTTCCAGAGATTAAACAGTATTTGAACACAAAACCACTAGTATTAATCCTGCTGTCTCGAGCTTGAGCAGTGATATAAGCAGTCAGGCCTTCACTTAGAAGTGATGTTGTTACGTTTAAGATGCATCTCTACATAAAATTTGAGTGTAAATATAAGGAGTTCGATGATAAATGTGATATTTCAATGTAAGGGACATAGAGGAGATTAATGTGGTAATTGCCAACCTGATAAATTGATCTGCCATTACCCCAGATGAAATCCACAGCACCTTCAATATAGCAACTTTCAAAGTAGTGACGACCTTGTGAGTCCGTCAATGTGTCCTGTACACTTATAAAGCCACAACGATAAAATGCTGCCTTGTCCGCATTGATCAGAGCTGCTGGTGCCCATGTAATTGGTTTTCCAGGTTGAAGATTATGAGTATTCTGTCAGAAAAAAGGGTTATTAGTTCAAGGCAGCATTGGATCAAAATATCAGTAGCTTGAATAAAACTTCTTAATCCTTTTGCAATTAGCTCAAGTTGTGAAAATTTTTGAATTTGGTTAAGATGGAAATGAATAAGCTTGAATTGAAATATGATCAAGCAAATAAAGAAGAAATATGCAAAAATTTAAAGCCACTAGACCTTGAATGTTATATCTATGGCAACAAACTCTTCAGCATACAATGAAAAAGTAGAACTTCTAATGGAATCACCTCCATCTCCAAACCAGACAATAGTCTTGCTTCTTGACTCTCCTCCAAGAATAATTTTTGGTTTATCTGGAGGGATATTTACCTTTTCACTAAACAGATGAAGGCACAAGATTAGAGCTAGAAACCACTTTGTTGGTCTAAAAAAAAAAAGGTTTCAGCAGTAATTACTTGTAGATACCGGCTTTAACACGAATTAGTGTCCATGCTGCATTGTTGGATGGAATAGAATCAATGGCTTTTTGGATAGTGATGAAATTCCCATGGCCTGATTGATCAACTATGATAGTTTTTGCAATTACAGCTTGTGCATCATACTTAATTTTTCTAACCTCTGCCTTGTTTGGCATAAAAAGGAATGAAACCAGAATAGAATGGAGAAAGAATTGGAGATACTGCATTTTGAATGTACCCAAGTATAAAGATCAATTGACAGGATCTTAAGAATCAGAGAAAAATATGACGTCTTGTTTTACCTATTCCATTTGTGTAAAATTAGCTGTGAATGATTTAACTGGTAAGATTATGTTTCAATTGGAAATTTTTAAAATTTTTGGCAATTTATCTGCCAGATAATATCTTTCAAGGCTATGATCATTAAGAAAGCATGATTTTCCTTAATGAGGAAAGCCATATTAAATAAAAAATCTGTTGATCTTTCACCAGGTAATCATTTACGGTAAGCTTAACTTTCTCTCCATAGATGGCTTTGCCTTTACATTTTTGACTGACAGCTAATTAACTCCATGGTTAGTGCAGAATCTGCTGGTCTCAGTTAATGGAACCTTAACACAAGCTGCAGAAGAAAAACTCGATTTTATGACTTTTCAAAGAATATTTACATATGTAGCTTTTTTTTGTCATTCGAAAATAATAGTAACAAAGTGTTAATATAATTTTAGAGTTTCAAAGCAAATTCCAATTAAAGTACCAGAACCACTGTATAATATGTAGGTAGGGACCCTTTTTCATGGAGCCTTAATGGAACAGAGATTCTCAAGGAATGCTTCAAGAGCTGATAACTGATTATCATTTATAATATATTCTTATCATCCTTGAAGTCTCGAATACTTTCAACATACCACAATCACGGTTATTTATTTATGTAGTATATTGTTTAAAGGAACTACAATTGGCCTAGAGGGCCGGACCACACAAAGTTGCAGAAAACATAATAATCAGATACCATTAATGCTCTTGGTTGTCTGGAACTGGAATAGACATCCAAGCAGCCGATAACACACTACAGATTCATCAATTCCACACTCTTTATCATATATTAGTACTTATATTATATACACACAAACTGTTTTCTTCATAGCAAACTAGTTCCCTTTTGCTGGCGGGTGGTCACCAATGTAGTAGTGGTGGATCTTAGTAGATGATCCTGATGGATTTCCATAAGTTCCATAGCTGTCGTTTTTATCATCTTCATTGCTGTTAACGGTGCTACTATTGCTGCTAGTTTTATTGTCACTTTTTGCATCAACCAAGGGCCCTGATGCAGTAACCGGTTTCACATCAGTTCCTAACTTGCTAGGTTCATCATCAGGCTTAGCATCAGATGCAACCTGATTACCTGCTTTCACTGTGTTCACCTCCAATAAAAATCTTCTGGCATTAGCTTCGCAATGCAACAATACCAGTCCCAGGAGAAACAGAACCAGAAGTACCATCTTCATGATTAACCTACGCTGTCAATTGTGATCAATGATAAGATCATATGATTACTAATAAAGTTACTTGAATAAAAAACTGATTCGTTAATGAAACTAAGCATACCTTATCTTCCTTCTGCAATTTTATTTGATGAATCTAGTAAATGTTACTTTCAAGGTAGAATTTATAGGCTGAAAAATTGCGCTTAATCATGATTAGAAGGACAAATATGTAGTGGAATAATGGACTAATCACAAATTTTTGGCCTTATTGGAAGGGCATTCACACATGTTCTGGTTAGTGGAAATGATAGTGGTAACTATAGATAAATGTTAAAACATAATTCAAACTGACATTTCTGGTAATGGGGTGAGGTTTATATGGTATATCTTTCTTAATATAGTTTGATTATGTTTCCATTATAGGGTTCAAAAACTAAGTGCTTCTTTCAGCAAACAGTGGAAGCAATAGCATTGGAATTGCTTGATGACAACTATAATGCCATAGCCTAAGATCCTCTTTCCCAATACCATTTATCTTGAAACAAAAGAAAATTTCTGATCCAAAAAATTTAGGCCACAATGGGCTCCAGTCCAAACTAAATTATACATGATTTCTGTTGTTCTACTGCTACCTTGAGCCCGGAATTGGGCTCAGTTGACTTTTCCAAAAGAGTGGTCACCTGTCCAAGTGGATAAAGCATCAATTATTCAGTGCCTCAGCAACAAAATGAAAATTCAATAGAATACATTTTCTTTTCTCTGCACCACTTACATCAAACACCGTCCTATTATTTTCAGTAACACTACCACAAAATTTTCTTCCATAAAACAAATTCTTATAATGACGAAAAGCCCAAGCTCAAACCCCAAATGGGTAGCTATTTTAAATTAAAATTAAGGGTGATTTAGTCTAGCAAAAAACCAACTAGTCCTAAAAAAACTCCTTACCAGTTACCGTCACTCAAAAACAGAAAATTCAGTTACGCCATGGCCATGAAACTACTGTCAACTCCAACTTCTGTATCTCACCCAACAAAGCTCTTCTCCGTCTCATCACCAAAACCCTTATCGAGAACAAGCTCCTTCTTCCAGTGGAGATCTAAATGCAGAGTTTTTACAAGGAAAATGGTGGTAAACTCATGTGTAAAGGTGGAAGACAAGAATGTGAAAGAAACCGGTAAACAAGAATGGGGAAAGGCCTCTGCACTGCTTTTTGACATGAATGGAGTGTTGTGCAATAGTGAGAACCCTTCTAGAAAGGTAGCTATTGATGTTTTTGCAGAAATGGGAGTCCAAGTTACCGTGGAGGACTTTGTGCCTTTCACTGGCATGGGTAAACTTTTTAGCTAGATTCCTTGCTATTGTTTTAAGTTTCTTCTTTTATGGATACTCTTCCTTAAATTTTGATTGACTAAAAAATTATGAATTTTTAGGAATCTAGGTAGTTAATTTTCAGATGCTGATTAAAGATAGTAACTGTAAGCATGTAAATCTGCGATAAGTTAGTCTCTTGATTTGTTAGTGATTAATTTTGATGTCATGTCAAAGCTGTTAAGTTTGCTGCATGTTTCTACTTTACTGATATTGATATACCAGGTGAAGCAAACTTTTTAGGAGGTGTTGCTTCTGTTAAGGGTGTTAAAGAATTTGACCCTGAAGCAGCAAAAAAGAGATTCCTTCAGATATATCTAGATGAGGTGATTAGCTCTTATTTTTTATATACAGATTTATTTTTTCTTATTATGAAACGACAATCTTACAATACCTATTTTAAGTGTTTTTCAGTGAACAAATTTTCACAAACCTTATAGGTTCTTTCCTTCCTGTACTATGCAAAACCAAATTCTGGAATAGGATTCCTAGGTGCTCTTTAGCTCATTACTCAGCTACATAAGCCAATGGCCACAAGTGAGACCAGGATCATAATATCATATGATGGAGTATTCTGTGTAACAGTGTAAAAACAAAAGCCTAAAAGTTGCTGTTGCATCCAGCGCTGATCGCATCAAGGTTGATGCAAACTTGGCTGCTGCTGGGCAAGCAATATCGTTGTAAGCCAACCTAATCTAGTTGTTTCAACGCATATATTGGTTGTAGATTATAATTTTTAACTTTGAGGCATCGTTTTTTTATTTTCTTCTTATTATGGTTCTAGCCTTTTTACATCAGGTTCGATGCTATTGTGTCAGCAGATGTTTTTGAGAATCTGAAACCTGCTCCAGATATTTTCTTAGCTGCATCAAAGATCTTGGATGTTCCCCTTGATGAGGCATATAATTCTCACCCATCTATTATGGCAAGGATTTTTCCCTTCTCACTGACCAAAGGAGTTGCTCTGCATGACAATGGTGATATTGCTGCATAATTTTCCAAATTTTTTATTTGTATTTTTCTTATTTGTGTGCTAAAGGGTATTAAAAACTCACTGATGCCATGTTTCATGCTCTTATACGAACTTTGCCAATGAAAAAGTTCTCGTCATACTTCCCATTTCTCTCATGGGTGCTACCACTGAGTGTTTGTTAGCTGAATTTCGGAATCTCTACTTTCTTGTTTGGAGAATTTCATGTAGATGATATGGTAGTACCCTGCAGAGCTTCAGTTGTTAAAACTCTTTGTTTTCTAAAGTGCCATTGTATTTTTTTCTGCTGAGGAATCTGACATCTGCCTATCATTTGTCAGTGTATTGTTATTGAAGATGCTTTGGCTGGAGTACAGGCTGCCAAAGCAGCAAAAATGAGGTAAACGATCATATATGCATCACGCATGCTCATTTTCAACCTAGGTGAAAAAAATGGTTTACATACAGAAAATGATCATATATGTTACTTTGTATCAATACATATGCTTTTCCCCCTTCCTAACATGATAGATAAGTCTTTCAGGTCTTGCTTGTCAACCATTTTTTCCTATGATCAAACAGAAAAGGAGTACCTTTGTGGTAAATTCTAATCATTCTCTGCTCCATGCAGATGCAGAGCTGTGACAACTACAATGACAGAAGAGACTCTAAAAGATGCTGGTCCATCAATTATCAGAAATGATATAGGAAGTGCTTCACTCAATGATACTCAGTGGTGGCTCAGTTGGCTATAGTCTGTAGTCCTGAGAATATGCTAGAAATGTCCTTTTGTACCATCAATAATGTAAAATGGTGATCCTTTTTAGCGTGCCATTTTTAATAAAGCACTAGATACATTCTGTTGTAACGGTTATCCTATTTAGTGGAACCTGTGTCCAGAGGAATCTGCAACACTTAATTTCAGAAGATCCTCTTCTTCAGCATTTACAGGGACAATTAATTGCAAGGTACTCCTCATTTTGAAAGCAAAGATTGTTTACAGTTGGAACCAAAAGCAGTCTTAGGAGATGTAGAGCTATGTGTTTGTTCATCAGTACAACTTCTGTGCCTTTGAATGCTTAGACATAGGCAACAAGGATGTTCAAAAACTATTTGTCACAGCTAGCAAATCATACAGCGGCAGCACTTAGCCTGGAGGATTGTGAAATCAGTTTGTGGGTCCTTTCAATTATTTTCTGAGCATTAATGCAGTATGGCATCCTTTAAAGTTTAGTGATTCTGTCCTTGAAAGAGATTGACATCAAAGTTCAGTGCAAAGCCTGCAAGGAAAAGGGTTTGGTAACTCGACTACTGTAACTGGAAGCTTTTGTTAGCTATAAGCCTATGAAAATCAATCAATAATTGTAGGAAAAATGGAAACTTTTTCCCAGTGTGCTGTCCCCCTGTTCCCTGCCCCTTATTTTTATACCAAAGAACATAGTTGCACGTGTGTATGCGTGCTCACTGCGTGCATGTGTTCTCTGTTGTCTAAATGGTCTTCAGCTATTCAATTCTGCCTCCAGTTGCCCGAACCTATTTGCCAGTTTAATATTTATAGATTACATTAAGATTAATCATAGGAAACTTTGGAAATAACTTTCTTTTGGGCTAAAATATCTCTGAAAATGAGTGAAATAAACCACACACAAATTTATGGCTGAAAGCACTGTCCTATGGAAAACAACACTTTATAGGGTTTTGGAGCAGGCAGTAATCAATAGTATCGTGCTTGCAGAAGTACTATTGCAAAGAAGATTAGGTCCGTTTGTACTAATCACTCTTATTTGATGTACCATTCCAAGAGGAAGTTCCAGAGTCTAAGCCAACAGAAATCAAACTTGTCTATAATGTGATCAAACAGGCGGGTTGTGAAGTGATAGCCGGCAATTTCATTTTGAAGATAGCATGATATGGTTTGATTTATGTATTTTGTCAAGATGATTGAATCGTACAACTTATTAAGCGAACCTATTTGATTTTTTTCACAAGTAAACTTGTCAACGAAATCTGGGGTATGACAAAATGACTGTAATTACAAGAAAAATATCATGGAAATTAAACAACAGGTCTGCATCAACATAGTTACCTTTTTTCAACACTAAAACCTAGCTGCCAAGTTTTAGCAACACAGATTCAACGGTGCAAGGCCCGCCATGTTGTGTTGGACTGTTACCTTGGCTCATATCTTACTTTTATTCCAATTATTACTATCCTTCTTGTTTTTGTCAAATTACAATTTAAGTGCTGCTTATAATGCTTCCTTTTTACCGAAATAAAATTTTGAATGCATCAAATTGATAAAAAAAAATGCAGTAAATGTTGCTATGATCATTGTAAATAGGTTTTTTTGTTAAGGTGAGAAAACATTGCAAACAAATAAAATGAGATATACTGAAAGATAACTGAGAAAAATATTAGAATAGACCCTAAAGTATTTAGTGCAATAACAAATGATGGTAAGTGGCATAACAAAGTTGAGTTGGGAAGAGAATAAGATTAAGAGAAAGATTTAGAAAGAGACAATTGCAAAAAGAGTTAGAGAGAAAGTTGTGAAAAATCTGCTCAAAGTCCTCTAAGTCCCTCATAAATTATGAAAACTCTTATTTATAGGTTTCAAGAATAGAAGTTACATATCTTTAGTAATGAATAGGAATAGTGGTGAGTAGTGAGAGAATTGACTGTTACAAAAAGTATAAATGTATTGTTTAATGAAAGTTTAATTAGCTTCTTGGTAATAAGTATAGTGAATATAAAAGTTCACTACCTATTCTAAAGGAAATGAGGAAGCACTCATATTTTAGCAAAAAGT